TGAGGTTAATACTTTTTGGCAAATACATTTTTCATAAGTTTGTATACACAGACATCTGTTGTGGGCATTCTTGGCAGTTTTTACGAGGCTTTTTTTAATAGTGTTCATATCGATATTGGAATTATATCGTATCGACCGAATTTAAGAAATATGTCGTGATATAAATTTTGGCCATATCGTCCAGCCCTAATTTCACCTAAAGCCCCGTTCACACTGCCAGCGACTTTTTCGCTGTACAGGTGCATCTCAATAAATTAGAATGTCGTGGAAAAGTTCATTTATTTCAGTAATTCAACTCAAATTGTGAAACTCGTGTATTAAATAAATTCAATGCACACAGACTGAAGTAGTTTAAGGTCTCTCTAAGCGAGATCCCAATTCGTCGGTCATCCGACGTGACGTCGAGAGTGACCGACTGAAAGGGAACGTCTCGGTTACGTATGTAACCCTCGTTCCCTGAAGGAGGGAACGGAGACGTCACGTCCCGTCGCCACAGCTCCTGTACCACCGCTGAGCGGCCGGGTCACCGGCTTGGCTCCTCAGCGAAAACCTGAATATGCGGTGCATCTGCTGCCTACTTATACTCACGCTGTGATCAGCAGCAGCTGGATGCAATAATCGCATGCCAATGTGCATTGGCTCGTTTGGTTTACGCTCGAAGTAGATTGGTCTCTCTAAGCGAGATCCCAATTCGTCGGTCATCCGACGTGACGTCTCCGTTCCCTCCTTCAGGGAACGAGGGTTACCATACGTAACCGAGACGTTCTACTGCTCTCAAAGCGCCTCCTGCTGGCAAACAATCAGTTTGCATTTTCAAAAGCTGTTGTTATATAAACTACAGCAGTGCCTGTGCATTAAATCATTAACCAGAGCTAAACTGCTCACTGCATCATATAAATAACAACTCGAACCATCAACGTATGAATCAAACTCACTTCAACAGTTTCTTTTCTACGCATCATGTTTTGTTATATCCATGCATGTGGTTACAGTAAAATCATATAAAACAGTGAAATCGCTCAGGAAATCTGTCCTGTCTTCCCTGCACTCGAGACGGTGACGTGTGAGCGCCACTGACAGATTCTTCACTCCTATTGGTTGTCGCTCGTGAAATTGGCTGTTCATTTGCATAAAGTTAAACAATTCTTAACTTTTGTCGCTTGACATGCCCACATTCTGTCGCCAACGGTCACTGTCGCTCGTGTCGCCGGAAGTCGCCAGCTCTCCATTGAAAATGAATGGGAGCATGTCGCTTTGTCGCTG